GTGATATAGTCAGACGAGTTAGAGCTCTGGGTATGTGTTGGGAATGAATCTCAGCTACTACCACACCAACTTAATATTTGTAAAATTGATCGAGTTAAAGTCAATTTGACTCTGAAACGTTAAACAGGTGATCAGCTTGATGAGATCATTTGCAAACTGTTGAAACACACACATACACAGGCAAGAACGTTATCACCTCTTGCCTTCGGCGGTGGATGAGAGTTACCAAATATCATTGAAATAGCATTTCAGATGAATAAATGTTTGACAACTTACATTTCTTCTAATCTATCAAAATCACAAACATGCATCCAATGCGCTAAAATCGTTCTCACAACGAATTTCCCATTAAGCTCCCGTTTATTGTGGGTTGTATGGCTTTTGTATTGTTATATTTATAATATACTATATTTAAAATTTGTTTTGTTTTTCACAAACTTTACTCAGAGATGTCCCTAAACAATCAGTAACAGTGTGGTTTTTATAAAAGCTTTTTTCCGTGGTGTAAAACAGTCCTTTTTCCTTGTTGGGTCAGATGGTGTTCACTGTGGGTGAGAAATAAAAAAAAACAGGTTTTAGTGAAAACGCCATGTGCTTGTTGGTCAAACAGAGAAAAGATGAGTTCTTTTGAAACTCTATACGCTGTAAATCAAAATGTGATCTGCGCAGTCAGGGGCTGTTAATTATGATTTTACAAACATTCTTCACAAACAATAAGATATCTGGGTTACATTCCTGCAGCAGCGTTCCAGCTTTACGTGCTTTTTCTTCATCTTTTCATGCTTTAGAGATAAGTATCCGACAAGTCCTGGAGGTAAAATCAAAGCTGCTTCTTTTTATTCCCCTCAATTGTTCTGCTCTTGTACAACCAGTTTGAGTCTTCTGATGATACAGCACAAGATCACCTTCAGGCCATGGCGAGTCACAGAAAGAGGATTTGTGCTCGGAAACAGTTTTTATTTAATTCTTTCTCAATAAAAGTGAGCTTCTTTTTTTTTTTCAAAATAAGAGCGTTTGAGAGGCACAAATATGAGTAAACTCACCAGAACTATGCACACTTCATCTTCTGCGAGAGATTACTAAAAAGAGAACGGGAACAAACATTTCAGCACAGCTCATTAATGAATTACAGTATTGTGCAAAAGTCTTGAGTCATATAATTTGTCTCCAAGGAACTGGACTATCAAGTCTTGATCCATACGTCTGAAAGGCTGTCTAAGGTTTTTCTTTGGACTTGGGCTGTTTTTTCACTCGTGTGTCCTGTGCCTGACCATTTTCAGAATAAATTTTTGTTAATGCTTCTTTGTTAAACCACCTAACTCTGACCTGAGAGGCAGTCAGGACTAAGAAGTTTACAAAACCCAAAGAATGAAACAGCGTTGTGTCGATACATGAGCAAATTATCTATGTTAATCACAAAGACGCCATTAGTTTCTCTATTCTTTAGTTAAGTTTATAAAGATACCAAAAATAACATAGCGTGAAACATAAAATAATATTTTAGCACCAACAAGTTTGTTCCCAAATAGGTATTAGCTCATAACTTGACATTCAGCTGTTTTTTCTTCTTCTTAAAGACATAATTTTCAGACACCGTTCTTCTGCTGAAGAAAGTTCTTTAGGCCTGACGTTTCTTTTCCACCATTCACTTTCCTCTCTTTTACATCCTGGGTGAACTATCCGTTTTTTCAAACAACTCCTTGGAAGACAGAAACCAGCACCTCACTTCTCAGAACAGGATCAAGCAGATTAGCAATAAAATAGTTAATAAAATTTCAGTTTAATTGCAGAGTAATACTCACTCATGCCAGCATTACTTCCTGGACAGGGAACTGAAAATAGAAGAAAAGATAATAAAGAAAAAGTTAACACACTCAAATAAACTGACGACAATCATATTTTAGCCTCTGACCCACCAGAGTATGTCCTGGGAAGGCAGAAGGTGACTTTGATCCCATTTGGTCCCACAGGCGCCACGACGACCGTGTACACGTCCCCGCAGGTTCCCTCCTGGATGTCGCAGTACGTGCTCCCTGCGGTGGCGACGCAGGTGTAGTTGGCCCCGGTCCCATACAACTCCACAATGTGTTTATAGGCCTGAGGGCCCAGAGGACGCCAGTACACCCTGAGTGAGTTGTTTGTCCTGCGATAGAGCTTGACTCCTGTTGGACAGCAGGCACCTGAAACGACGACAAGTGTTGAGTTTATTTTGCATTTTAGTGTTCATTTAATTTGTCATTTAAAACAGCAACTTATCTTGTTTTTGTTTTTGACCAGATTGATGCCAAATGCAGAATTTTGCTGTGCTGCTTGGTGGTGAAAATACTTTGTCCCTCCAACGGATAAATGCTATAATCTGTGTGTGTGTCTTTGTCCTCACTGGATGAGAATCCACTGTATGTGCACTGAGATTTTTGTCCCGTGGCACTGATGGCTTCCAGGTTCACGCTGTAGTTGGTGCTGCAGGTGATGCATCCCATCAGGCAGTTGGTGTCCAGCGTGTGGCATTTGGCTTCTCCTCGTGGGGACATGAGTGTGGTTACGAAGGAGCGAGCACCGCTGCTGGCCGACCAGGTCACATTGGTCATCGCCTGGGTGACCTGAGTCACGTTCACGTATGAGGGGCAGCACGGACCTTTAGGATAAAATAAATACGGATTAATAATCTTTGCGTGTTAGACTTTCAGAAGTTTGAGTTGAGTCACAAGGGATCACCGTTGTCTGTCTCTCTGATTGTTTTTCTGTTGAAGGTAAAATAATATGTCTAAACTTTAAATGTAGGGTTAAGTAATACCTGTTTCCAACGTTTTACTGAATCCAGGGAGACTTCTGCCTGCTGTTGTGGTGGCCACTGCCGTGACCTCGTAGGTAGCACCACAGGGCACCTGTATGAGCTCACAGAAGTTGTTTTTTGTCTGACATGTGAGCACGTTGTTAGGTCTGGTGGCAGTGATGGTGTAGTTTGTGTTGGCTGAGTTTGGGGTGGTTATGAAGACTTTGTATGCTGAGCTGCTGGTCTGAGTTATGTTCAGGATCTCTGGAGCACAGGGAGCTGAAGGCAGGATGGAAAAAGAAGAGGTTGCTGTTTAAAAAAAATCCAGATTCAAGCTGAGGGAATTATTAGTTAATACAAATGGTAGCAATACATAGAACAAACAGGTACTTATCAGGTATGTACTTGTACTTACAGGGTATATATTTGGTACAGGGTGCTTACAGGTACTTACCAGGTATGCACTTGTACTTACAGGGTATATATTTGGTACAGGGTGCTTACAGAGTACGTAACTGGTTCTTACCAGGTACATATTTTGTATGTAGCTGGTAATTGTGTATCCCTAATCTGTTTTGAATCTTTGTCAGGGTACTTACTGAGTATTATCAGGAACATACTTGGTACTTACAGGGTACGTACCTGGTACCTACAGAGTACCTAAGGGTGCTCGTTGTGTACAGACCTGGAACTTACCAAGTATTTGGTGTGTACAGGGTATTTACCATGTATTTGCTTGGTACTTATAGAGTAAAATAAACTTGAAGTGCCAGGCACTTAACCTTTAAGTCCCAGGTATGTACATTCATTCAACCTTTATTTAACCTGTATAAATAAACGTTGAATGAATGTACATACCTGGGACTTAAAGGTTAAGTGCCTGGTACTTCAAGTTTATTTTACAGCGTATGTACCAAGTATTTACAAGTATGTACATGGCACCTACAAAGGTACTTACAGAGTCCAGGTAATAAGTACATGGTACTTATTATGTATGTACCTAGTACCCGAAGAGCACAAGTACCTAGTACATACCTGAAGCTAAAGGGTTATGTACCTGGCACTTACAAAGTAATTACAGAGTATAGCTATACCTGGTACCAATATTTACCTGGTACCTATAAGAGTACCTACAGTATGCATATCTGGTACATATTACCAGGTACAAACTTGGTACCTACAGGTGCTTTTGAGTATCTACATGGTAAGTTAAAGTTGGCAGCATGATGTCTCAGTGGTTAGCACTGTTGCTTCACAGCAAGAAGGTCCTGGGTCCAATTCCTGGTTGGACCTGGGGTCTTTCTGTGTGGAGTTTGCATGTTCTTCTCATGCTTGCATGGCTTTTCTCTGGGTACTCTAATTTCCTCCCAACTACAAAAAACATGCATGCTAGACAGCCTTCAGGCCCAGGCCTCCCTTGCAAAAGAGATCTGTGATCTCAGTGGGATTTGCCTGGTTAAGTAAAGGTTAATAAATAAGTGGTACAAACCTGGGATGTTTGGAGTACCAAACTTATGTACCCTGTAAGTACTGGCTAAATTGTGTATTATTACCAAATAAAGTAATAGATTTCAACTCTGTGAATCTTCCTGCAGATACAAGAAGCTTCATCTGACCCAACCCGACACATTTTCAAAGTAAGCCCTCTGATACCTGTCTCTTTCGTGTAAGGTGCACAGGTGAGGTTACATCCTCGCAACTCGCTGCAGGGGGTCACCGTCACAGAATAGGCCGTGTTGCAGGTCAGATCGGACAGCGCGCACACCGGCGATGTGTCGTTGCAGTGGAGCATGCCGCCGGTCTCCACTGCCGTGGTCTCGTACACCTCGGCCCCTTTGACCGGTGACCACATGACCTCGAGGGTCTCTGTAGAAACCAGCGTCACAGCGACGTCCCGTGGACAACAGGGAGCTGAAGAATGCAGATGAAGAAACCTGTTAGAGGTCTTAAACATTTTTCTAGAAAAGGTTTTGACTTTATGTCAGAATCGTGTGTACCATGGAGCTTAATGTGCAAAAATACCCAAAAAACTTTTATATAAAGACCATGAAAAGGAAGTTGATTTGTTTTTATATATGTCCGTATGCATATGTTAGCGTACATTTCCCTTTTTTGCAATTTACTTATTAAATGTGGAAGTAAAGTATCAATTTGATGTAGCTTTAACAGTCAACAAGTGTGTCTTATCTCTTATATTCTATTGTGTCCTGAGGGATTGATACTGGTTTTTATATTAAATGTTTCACTGATCTGATAAAGGAGACAATGGCTTGGCTCCATTTGCCTTTAAAAGTTGAATCTCTGAGGCAGGGTTATTGTGAAAGGGCTGGCACACCTGTAACTGATTACAATAAATACACCTGTGCTTTCCCCATCATCACACCCCGGAGTATCTTTCTTGAAAATAAATATTTTCTGAACAATGTCATGGCTGAGATTTCAGGGCTGGTCGCCAGACATTTGAGCCTTTTCCTCGTAAGCTTGCACAAAAACAAAATAACAGCCGTTTTAAGTGTTTCTTTTAGAGAAATTCTTGTGTAACTTGTGTTTTAGTATTAAGATAATTGGGCGGTGTGTCATGATCTCACTGGTCGTGTAGTTGCGGACGTTTGCGAAGAGGCTGGTGCCGGCCATGTTGTAGGGAAACACGCTGGTGAGGTACGTGTAGCCGCACATGCAGAAGAACGGGCATCTGGTTGTGGTGGTGTTGCACGTCTTCTCCGTCCCGTCGTCTCTCTTGATGAAGGTTATGTAATACTCCACCAGTGGCACTTCCTCCCACACCACTGAGCAGTTCCCAGCTGAGGGCTCCTCCACCCAGATGTTCTCAGGGGGACAGGGGTCTGTCAAAGGAAAACAAACAATGAGATTGTAGGTTTTTATTCAGCTTTCTCTCAGCCTATATATAAGAGGTTTAGATTTGGGACGTGACTGTGTGTGGAACCCACAAGTGATGTAGTTGGTTGGTTGTGAGGGGCTGCTGGGTCCAGCATTGTTGTAGGCTATAACAGTGACGGTGTGGTTCTGACCGCACTCCTGAGGGTTGATGAAGCAGTAAGTGCTTTCTGTGGAACAATTTTGTCCATTAGAGGTCCAGGCCAAGTAGTTTGTGGCCCCCTGCACGTATATCCAGTAGACGGTGATCCCAAGAGACCGGCCCAGAGTCACCTCGACAGAGGTCACATCTGGGCTGGAAGGACCTGGTATAACCAAAAAAAGCCAAGCAAAAATGAAGAAAAAAAATCATCAAATATACCATTTTTTAATGCAGGCTGTGCAGTTTAGGATCTTATATGTCTTACGTGTGATCTGGCAGACAGTGAGGTCGTCCCCGGTCCGGCCCTCAGAGTCCCAGGCTGTGCCCTTGATGCAGTACGTGGTTCCTGCTGTGAGGTTGTTGAACGTCATATAGGTGTTGGTGGTGTTCAGCTTCAGGCGGGTGCTGGACCCCTCCATGATGATAACCAGCGAGTAGAGGACGGCATTTTGCACCGGGGTCCAGGCCACAAGGATGGTGTCATTGCTCGGGGAGGTTGTGTTCAACTGGGGTGCAGTCACAACTACGAACAGAATCCAGAAGAAAAACTCAATTAAACAGCTGAAGACACTTTCTTTTTTTATCCTTTAGGGGTGTTTTTTTTTGTTTGTTTGTGTATAATGTATAAAATAATTTGCGATCATATTACATCCATTTTTCTTTCAAAAAGGAAGACAACCTAGTTCTCATGGTTTCTGTTTTCAAGGTATGAAAATGCTGCAGAACAAAAGCATGGATACAGTTTCCACCACCTTGCGTTTGATACAACAAGTGGGGAATCGCTGACAATGGGCAGGGAAATGATAAGCTGTTATTGCTGACGGATCAAGATAACAAGTTATTGTTCAGCTGGAACAACAGAGCGGCTGCGTTTCACTCGTCATACTCTGAATATCATTAAGAGTAAACTCTTAACTGTCTGAAAAGGACAAAAAAGGTCACCGTGTTCCAAGAACATTGTTCTGTTGTTAACACACGGGATCCATTTATTAATCTTCTATCAGTGTCTGAGATCCCTAGTGATCGTTTGAGGGGTTTTATGGTAGTTTTGTTGTACCTGTCCTGGCCTCGGTGGGGTACGAAGGCTGGCTCCTTCCCCCTGAGTTGACCGACATGACACTCAGGATGTAGTCCGTGTAGGGCTTGAGCTGCTCCACGGTGCCCGGGGAGCTCGACACGTTGGTCTCTAAAAAGAAATCCCCCGTCTTTGACTCTGCCCTCAGGATGTAGCTGGTTGCTCCGGTAGCTGTGGTGAACTCAACAGTGATGCTGTCGCTGTGTTTGGAGTAGGCCTGCTGGATAGTCGGGATATCAGGAGCTGCAGAGCAAACAAAAAGATGATGACTCACAAAAAACATGGTTAACTTTTAGATTTAAATCTTTGTTTCAGAGTCCACGTATGTAAACAGTTTGTACAGAGGTCAGTTTTAATTTGGTAAATGTTAGACTGATGAGAAAATCTGCCCCAGTTAAGCAGCAAGGAAGATCTATTTTCATTTAATGGCACTTATTGTGTGAACAGTTGCTTTAACAGAGAAGCTATTTTGAATTTTATTACACGAGGCAACAACAATATTTTTGGTTCACTTGTGCATATTCAATGTTTTATATATTTGTTATTTTCCCTTAAAAATCTTAAAACAATGTATTCAACCTGTTTGCCTTTTTCTCTCTGTCTATTATTCTTCTATTCCTTTTTTTTGTTTGTTTGTTTAGTTGTTTCTTGGAACAAGAAACTTTCACTACAGAGTAATAATTTAAATTGTGACATAAATGACTCTTTATTTTTATGTACTCGTGAATAAACACTTACTTGGCAACATATGAGACAAAAAACATTTTCCTGTATTTTCTGATCATCATTATTTCATTTATCCTGCAAAAATCTGATTTTTTGTTATTTTTTAAAGAACTAGCTGAAATACATGTTCTGTTCAAAAACAAGTCGAAGTATGGTTTTTGATTTGCCACATGTCTGCATCTTATCTCATCTTACTGGATGTTTTGCAATGATTTTTATAAAACGATCTTGCAAAACTGGTTGTATTTTGAAGCTGAAATGATACAGTGAGGTTCCTGCCTCCACTTTGTCATTTAACACTTTTAATGCTCCTCATTTTCTCCCAGTTCCTCATGTTTGTAGTTTTTGTATCTGAAGTCCTCTGTCCCTCTCTGCTGTCACTGACCTGTTGTCTCCTCTGTCTTTGCACTGCTGAGGACATTGAGAGCGTTGTCCATGGCCTCCAGCTGCATGGTGTACACCGTGTTTGGTGACAGCGAGGAAACCGAGCCCATCACCGTGTTGCCACTGAACTGGGCGAACACCGGAAGAGCGGGGAAGGTCTTGGGGGTCGCTGTGATCTTGTAGGAGCTGGCCCCAGACTGACCGCTCCACTGCACCGTCATACTCTTTGATGTCACCGTAAACACAGACAGAGTGATGCCTGAGAGGAATTAGAAAAGGGGGAAAAAAACGTGTATTTATTAAAAAATGACTTTTATATGTTAGTTTATGCTCAGGGTTTGTGTAAATACATACGTCTAATGCTAAAAAAATGACTCAAATGTGCATATTTAGTTTGACTTTTAATGCAATCTGTATTTAAGGGATGCTGCTAAACTTCAGGGAAAATAAAATAAAAGTAGTAGTTACCATTTTGGGCAGTGCATATCTGGAAAACACAAATGATGGATTGTTAAAGAGCGAAACAAGAAAACACTGATGCTAAAAGGAAGCAAGCATCATTCCAGGGGCAGCGAGCTGTCAGTATTTCACATTATATCCTGAGGCAAATTATGTCCTGTATCATATTCTGGGAGCATGAGGGGCAGCGGGCTGCACATTACATTCACTCAACACAGATTTCAGGTCTGCTCAGAGCAGGTATTTCTTTCAGGGTGGAATGAATTTGTCTATTGAGCTAAGCTTGAGCCCGCCACACGCACCTGTTGAAAGCAGTGACCCTCAAAAGAGCCCGTTTGTGTAAAACTTCATCCTCTGTCTAGATAAAAAGCTGAATCAACTTTATAAAGATAATTTAAAAAAAACTTTTTTTGAGACCCATTATTGTAAAATACTTTAAATAAAACCAATGATGGAAAAATAAGCATCACTTACCCCTGTAAAAGTTAATAATAGCAGAAGTTTTAACGTCTTTAACTGCGTCGTTCCCATCTTTTTAGTGTTTTTTCTGCCTGAAGGAGAGAGGATTCTCAAACTGACTTCAGGGCAGCAGCTCCGACTTAAAATACACTTTTTTCTTCTCTTCTTTCCCCTTTTTTCCTGCCTCTCATATGAGACGACAGGTGCTTTATTGTTTCAGCAAATACCAAAAGGCCCAAAGGCTGTAACTCCACCCCTCGGGGTGTTTGAGTGACCTATCAGAGCGAGAGATGGAGGCTTATCTTTGGTTAGATGAGGATGTAGATAATCATACTCATATTACAAACTAGTCCCGAATTGTTTGTCACTGCTTTATAAATAAAAACAACGTCTGATAAGTGGATCTGTAACGAAAGCCTTAAATAAAGAAAAGAGCACAAGCGATGACCTGTTTCTGCTGCTGCTGGCTCGGAAAGGCGAATAAAAAGGAAGTTTCATGCTGAAATATATTTCATCTTTCTGGTTATTTCACTTGTGACAAGACAAATAACTTGTTTGCTGTCCCTTAAAACAAAAGGCTGTATTTAATGTAGTGACATCCTAACATATTTTAGTAAAACTAGTTGAAACCAAACATATTTTTCCTACAATAAATCTATCTGCAGTATAATCACATGAGTGCCTGCACACCTAGATAATACGTGCTCTTTAACAATAACCCTCGCAGCGGATGTGTTTATCACTGGGTGTGGAGCATTTCTGCAAAAGCTTTCAGCAAATACTGCGAATAAAAGAAGGCTCATCAAATTAAATTTTCTGAGAACTGATGCTTTCGAAGAGTCAAAAGTTCAGTTTCTCCAAAAAGACCAGGTTATTTGGCTGTCTGTGAATACTTCAAATTGTTTATTAGTATGTAGCAAAACTTTATTTTTAATTAGATCCTTCACTTTGGGGCTACTGTTTGTGAACTTTTGTGATTTTCAGTGTTTCGTTGCATTTAGATTGGAATTAATAAACACTGAGTGAAAGTCTCTGCTTTAGCTCGTTTGTTTCTGTTCACCCTGGAGGAAATACAATGTGGGAAATGTTTTCTTTAAAAAGAACTTTATTTTCAATGCATCAAAATTAAATAGGCTTTTTTCTCTTTATTAAAATCTGCTACAAATTTATTACAGGAAATCACAAAGCCCAAAGATCATTAGAGTGACTCAGTCCAGGTTCAAATGTAATTTTTATTATTTGATATTTTTTATTTATGAAACCACAAGAATGATCTTTCCTATATGGTTTGATTTGAGAGGAAACAGAATTTTCAAAATTCATTTGAGTGAATCTTTCACCTGTTGGTTTGTAATCTTGTCAGCCTTTAGGAATGTGATTTTATTAACGATAACAAAACAAACAAAAAAGAGCTTTTGGAAAATTGAAATCCTTCTGAATTTCTCAGCACTGATCAATGTTTTGTGTAAAGTTTGAAATAGTTGGTAATCGTGGCTTGTTGCGCAGCCGATCAAACGGAGTGACTAAATGTGCGAGTCCTGTTTTTGTCCTGAGTAAAGAGATATTTTAATATGAAACATAAACCATTCAGCCCTGGAGCAACATTATGATTATGATGGTGTTTAGAAGGTGACCCAGATCTGAATGGGACAAGGCAAACACGTTTGTATGAAATCAAATAAAGAGAAACACACACCTGCCTCAGAATATTAACTGTTTCCTGCTATTTTCTGTCAATTTATCATCTTAAAAAATTAATTAAAACCAACTTTATGTCAAATATTTGGATTATCAGGAGATTTATATAGAATTTCAAGCAGTAGTCCATTAGCAGTTTTTCATTCATTCAACCTTTATTTATACAGGATAATCCCATTGAGCCTCAGAGACTCATTTACAAGAGAAACCTGAAAGTTAAATTAATAAGTTAATACTTTTTAACTTTATTACAGAATGTTGTTTGTGCTGCAGGTAAATATTTTACTCATGCTGTAAAGTTGATTTTCAGTTTATGGAGCGAAACTCAAACTCAGACAACGGAGTTGGAAGCTGTGAAGATGGACATCGTACTGAGACAAAACCTTTAGGTGAATCTAAAATGATGCCAGTGTTGCTTTAACTTCAATTCACTTTGTTTATATAGCGCTAATTCACAACAAAAGTCATCTCAGGGCACTGAAATACATTATAAAACGCCAATAAAACTTTATCCGTCTAAGGAAGCCAGCAGATTGAGTTGAACCTCCACTTTGTTGCAACCTCCCATCCTGAGCAGCTCACTGGTGACAGTGGGAAGGAAAAACTCACTTTTAACAGGAAGAAACCTCCAGCAGAACAGGGTTCAGGATTGGCAACCATCTGCCTTGACCGACTTGGGAAAGAGACATAAACACAAAATGAGTTGTGCAGGTGTAGTTTCTATGGAGAGAAAGATGTTCAAGATAGAAACAATGAAACAAACATTAACAGAAGAGCAAGTAAAGACAGCAGCAGAGAGAGGAACTGTGGTCAATTCATCTTCCAGCAGTCTAAGCCTATAGCAGCATCACTGAGGGATAGCTCAGGAATCCCAAGTCGACCCTAGCTATAGGATTTATCAAAAAGTCTTAATCCCAGTCTTAAAACTGGACAATGTGTCATGGACAGAAACTGGAAGTTGGTTCCACAAGAGAGGAGCCTGAGAACTGAAAGATCTTCCTCCCATTCTACTTTTGGAAACTATAGGAACCACACAAAGTTTGTTTTCTCAGTCATCCAGGTATATAACAACAAAAAAGGTTGAATCATGTCATCTGGACTTCGTTTTTTTTGTT